TATTATACCTATTTTTCAATTTTGTGTTAGTAATAATATTTTGTTGATCTATATGGGTATTTAGTGTTGTGCACTCGATAAAGCTAACTGGGATATTACTGAAGATACCTAGCATTTCTTTTTAATGATCAGCATAAAAGGCAGATTCCTTTATTGGAGTCATAATTTTGAATTCATGTTATAGCCAAGACAAGAGAATAATACTCATGAGCTTAGCCTTGTATCTACAATTAAAGTAAAATACAAAGAAGCAAGTTTGGTAGCAGCAGACCAACACCATGGGCATGTCAGCCTTGACAGGCTTGGTTAGGGTAGTGAAATGCTTGGTGGGGGAATGTCCTTGCTTCCATGACATTGTCATCTGGAGATCTCCAGAAGTTATAGATGTCCAAATTTGCAATATGGGAAATATTAGCCATAAGAGACTAGCACCAAAAACAGTAAAGGCTAAGCAAATGAAAAAAAAATATTATTAAAAGTAGGAGAATGAACATACCATTATGGTAGGAAACAATTTGAAATTTACATCAAACACTGCGGCTCACAATATGAGGGCATAATATAAGGATATTGTGTCCCAGGTTTAAGAATCCCTCTTCTAAAGAAAGGCGTAGGATGACAAATCAGGTGCTCTTCTACTTTCTGAGAGCTGTGCAGTGCTGATTAGCACAACAAAGAACGAGGAGGATATGTGAGAGATGAGGATATGCCAGTGCATTCTCTTGGGTCCTCAGGGAAATCACCTGGATATGGACCTTCTGTGGGTCCTTGACAGTGTTCTGATGGAAGGATCTGCAAAAAAAGTTGGGCCCCAGTTGTGATCCAAGGGCCTTGTAGATCAGAACCTGGGCGAGAGAATGGCTAACTCATTATGGCCACTGGTGAGTGATAGGGACTTATTTCTAGAAGGCAAGACTCTATTCTAGGGTCACTGGCATCAATCATGGACAAAGGGTGACTAATTTCCTGCTTCTATGACTGGTTTCTGACTCATCTGAAACTCCTGGTTTTAGGCCATTATTGGTCTTACCTGTTATAGTGGCTGCAAATTTTGGGTTTAGATATAACTGACATAAAAATAAATTACTTTATTCTATTTTGTTTCACATAAAAACTAGTTGCTGTTGAGTCAACTCTGACTCAAGGCAACCCCATGTGTGTCAGAGTAGAACTGTGCTCCATAGGGGTTTCAATGGCTGATTTTTTAGAAGCAGATCACCAGGCCTTTCTTCTGAGGTGCCTCTGGGTGGACTTAAACCTCCAACCTTTCAGTTAGCAGCTGAGCGCATTAACTGTTTGCACCACCCAGAGACTCCTTGTTTCACATAATTAGAGTTAAATTGGTGTAAACCTGGTGTAAATCAAGGCATTTTTGAATGTCCAGGGGGAATAATAGAATCTAGGCTCATGACAGAATGCTAGGCCATTTCAGGGACTTCAGTTTGTGGGGAAGCTGGGTTCCTGGGGGTGGTGGAGGACCTGACATGTCTTTGAGGTTCACAACCGGATGGCTTCATTTCCTAAATCTTCATAAGAAAGGAATGCTATCCTCATTGGGCCCTCTCTCCCTCATCTTAAAGTTATCCCTAATGGCATTTAACTAAATCTTTATGGAGATGAAGGAGTTGAAGGGCCCAGAAAACCATGGCTTAAAAGGAAGAGTTAAAGGAATTGGCAAGATTTAAACAATTAGACTTGGAAGTCCACATGCTAGATCCCTTCAAGTATGTGGAAGGTTAGAAGAGCAACAAACAAACCATATCTATATGTATCTATTTGCATATCTATATCTATCTATCTAATCTATCTGCATATATATCTATATCTATCTAATCTTTCTCCATATATATCTGTATATATCATCTATCTATTTTTCAGAAAGAAAAGGTGATCTTTAAAAACACTGAGCATTGCATTAGAGAAGAGAATAGCATTAAAATCAGCAAGTTGCTTTTTTCCTGAGATTATTAGGCTAAGTGATCTGGTTATGCCTCACTACATTACAAACTACCTCAAACTTAGTCATTTAAAGCAACAATGATTTTATCATGTCTTATAATTCCATGGGTCAGGAATTTGGGCAAGGCCTGGCAGGGTGGGTCTTCTGCTCAAGGTGGCATTGACTGAGGTCACTTAATGGTGTCCAGCTGGTGGATGGACCCATCTGGAGTGCCCAAGATGATTTTGTTATCATGTTTTGTGCCTTAGAAGGGATGACAGGAAGGTTGGGCTCAGGTAGGACTGTTCATGGTAGCATCTCCACGTGGCTTCTCCAGCATGGCGGTCTCGGGGTAGTTAAACTTTTACATGGAAGCTCAGGGCTTCTGTGGAGCGGATTTCAAGAGATAAGCAGTGGAAGCTACCAGTCTCCTAAGACTTGGGTCTGAGAACTGGCAGTGTTATTTCCACCACATTCTATTGATCAAAGCAGTCACGGAACCTGCCTAGAAGCAAGGGGAGGAGACAAGAAACGGACATCTTTCAATGGAAGAGTGTAAAAAATCTGTGATCATTTATAATTTGCCACCTTAAGAAAACAAATTCTAAATCTAAATGCAACTTTTTTCATGCTGTATTTTCCCACTTTTTAAACTTGCTCAAACCCAGATAGAAAAGAACCCTCTTTGTGTTACTGGCTCTTGTTTTTGCTAACAAGAAATACTCATTAAGGTCCCCTATGTTGGAGCCCTGGTGGCGCAGTGGTTAAGAGCTGCGACTACTAACTGAGAGGTCGGCAGTTCAAATCCACTGACTGCTCCTTGGAAGCTCTATGGGGCAGTTCTACTCTGTCCTATAGGGTCGCTAAGAGTCAGAACTGACTTGACGGAAATGAGTTTGGTTTGGTTTTTACGTCTGAGTTAGTTTCAGGGCTAGTGAATCATTGCTTATATAATTACTTAAGTCCTAAAGCAATGATTAGGGTGAACATTAATGGGAGTTCATGAATTGCATCAGCAGCCAGCTTACCAAGCATCTTTTTTAGAGATCCATTGTCTTTAGAGATAGAAAATGCTTAGTGTAACTCCTGGCAATTAGGGTGAGCGTAAGTTCCTTGTTCTCCTTCCTCTGCAACTGAGGTATTTTGTCTTTTCCGTTATATATGTGCTTGTTTTTATAAAATGATTTTGGATAGACACAAGTTTTTTTCTTTAAATATTGTTTTCATTCTTCTACAGACACCTAAGTACTTATGAAGGTAAAACTGAGTCTAAATGAGTTGAGATGCTGAAAACAGAAGGCAAAACTTGCTTTAAGGTGGGAAGGAAGTTCTCCAGTTGATTCCTTGGGTACTGAGTTGGAGAGCTTTTCCTTTAAAAGAGACATGAGGGTGGTCCCTAATCTCTAGCATGATGCCTGATGTTTAATAAATACTTGTTGAATTCATGCTTGCATGCATACATTAGTGAATAGATGGCTAGAAGGATGGTTGAAAAAAAGGATGGATAGATGGTTGAAATGATGAATGACTCTCTAGATGGCGAGGGGATAGGGATGGCTGGTTGGTTAAAAAGGTGAACGGGTGGATGGTTGGGCTGGTTGACTATTTATTAACTTTACAATGGCATTGGATGGGTGTTCATAAACAACGACCTTCCATGTGGGATTTTGTGACTTTTGAGTGTCAAAGAGTCTAGCACAAACTCCATTTTCTTCCAAATTCTCATTATAAATTGCAAAACATTTTTATTTGTTGTTATATGCAGATCTTTGAAGAGGCTTGAAGTTGGTTTTTAATTCAACATTCTTAAAATTCTGGGGAGAAAACAGATTTAAAGAGTATACCTGTTGCCATCTAGTTGATTCCAACTCATAGCGATCCTATAGGACAGAGTAGAACTGCTCCGTAGGGTTTTCAAGGAGTGGCTGGTGGATTTGAACTGCTGACCTTTTGGTTAGCCACTGAACCCTTAACCACTGTGCCACCAGCTCTCCATTTAATGAGTATACAGTATATGGTTATTCGGAAACCTTGGTTAGATTTTATTGCCAGCTCCTACACCCAGATTGATTTGCCATGATATGTGGCTTCCTAGGCCTTATCAGGTTCTTCATCAACAGTTTGGTAATAATTATGTTTACCTCCTTTACAAGGTTGATTTGAGGTTAAATTATTTGAAATATATATTTGCATATATGTAGTTAATTTATATATATAATATTTATTGATCTATTTGTCCATCTGTCTATCTAGAGTTGTGAGTGTATTATTGTTAAGGTTTGTTTGCTACATTCCCTAGAAGTACTTTCTGGTAACACTAAGTATTGTTACCCTACTTTTGTCATTGAAAGTCTAAACACAAATAAGGATTTGTACAGAAACACAGAGGATTAGCATAGGCAGAAACTAGAATTCAGGGTATTTTCTAAGACACATTGCTTGTTAGCATTGCTAAAATATGATTTTTAGAGCCATTGCATTATTACGCAATGTGCAAATCCCAGTGTCAAAGGGATGGGCTGGTTCTAAGGCAGAGATGGCAAATGGATTTCATCTCGAGTGGCAACTCCAATCAGTTAGTAGTAGCTGTCTGGAGAACTGTGTTGAGGATATTAAAGTCCAGTCTGAGCTGCATTTGATCAGTGATACCTGCCATGAATATAGGATGCCCTATACATATTTGCCATGTATTTGCCATCTCCCTTCTAAGACCATAACTGGTGTTCACTATGATAGGTATCCATGCAGCATTGTCTACTGATATACCATAATGATTTATGAGCTCGCTCAAGAGAAAGTATCTATGGAGATTTTACAGTTTCTGGAAGCTGGTTTTTGAACTAAATATGCAAACTTCTTCCTTCGGTGAACGTGGTTAATGACATGGAGACAGAGAAGTGAGGGAAACTGTTACATCAATACCTATTAGAGTAATTCTCTTTAAAGGAGAAATGTTTGTCTTCCTATCCAGGGTAGGCTGTCTACCCTTGAGGGAGGAAGGTTTTTTGAACAGTTGCAGCTAGTATTATGTTATGCTGAAAATGAAGAGAGCTCCCTTCTGTGTGGACGCAAACACAATCAGATTAACTTTATTTTAAGCTTCTATTACATCTAGTTAATAAGAATACATGAAGCCAAGCCAGTTTAACAGTCTAGCAAAATACATGTCATTTTAAAATTGGCTATTGGAAAGCTTGGAATACCACGAGATTACTTAATAGAATTAGGTATGATGCACCTATAGTGAGAACCAGCTGATCCTCATAGATTCCTGGTGGCAAAGGCTCAGGAACAGCCTCAAAAAACAGTCTCAAAGGCCTAAAACTGTGGTTATACTGACCAGGGCATTCTGCTCTGGCTTTCCTCCAGCTTCCTTCCTACTGTCCATTTTTTGCAAAGAATCATAATCTAGCAACCTAAATCACACCCTAGGCATATCAGTGGGAAATGTTGACCATAAATCAGCCTTGCAAATAAATACTAGGCAGCCTTGTCTCCTGGAGACTTGGTGTATAATACAAACGCTGTCAGCATCCTCTGGCACTGGGTCTGAACCCACTGGCTATCTGCAAGGCTGATCCCATATTACTTTTCAGCCCCTGGGTGCTTAGCTGAGGTCTTGACACGGGGCATATGAAGGACAAGAGAGAATTAGTGGCTGCCAGTCCTCGCACATGTCTGCTCACTAAATCTTTTAGCTCCTCCATTATGTTGGGCTTGTTCTTCCTCTGCCAAAGTAGCTAGGCCTGCACTGGTGTGCAAAGGAGATGATTCCAGAGAGAGAGATGAAGTACAATCACAAATTAAGGAGACTAGTTCCTCATCCCTCCTATCCCAAACCAGCCTCATCACTTCCAAGTACTGTATCCCAGAAAAGGTTAATGTAAAGGATATTGGTTCCTGCTGATCAGGCCACAGCGTGATGGCTCCTATAAAATGCTCCATAAAACTACATTATTTAATAGATTCGAGTATTGCACCTGCTTTCTTATCTCCTCTTAGGTGATTAAGTTTCCCACAAATGCAATTTGTTAATCTGGGGCCACATCTTTTCACAAGGTAAATCTGTGAAATTTGGCAGGCAGTCACTTTGCTGCAGGTGTGAGATAAAAGACCTTTCCCTGGCTTTGCCAAGAAGAAAAATGATGTTGTGCTCAATTCGTGGGAAAAAATATTCTGACACAGAGGGTAGAGAAAAGGGAACAGAGTTCAACAGCCCAAATCATGTGCTTCCCTCCCTTTTGGGGAATGTGTTACCCCTAAGAGGCTGAGTAAGGAACCAGAAGTCTTGTTTTAAAAGAGGCCTGGTATAGGGCAAACCTCCTGCTAAGGGAAGTCTTCTGATATTTGGTGAATTTGCAGCCATTTGTGATGATAAATGATGATTTTTACTCTTATGAGCTATGAGAGCTTAATTAAAACTAATGCTCAGAATCCTTTGCAAGTTGGCAATTAAAAACTGACTTCCATGCTGAATAGCCTGGGTTTGAGAAAGTATATCTTGCAACACACGGTACCCCTACTCTGGGGTCTTACCCATTGCTGTTTGAGCCTTTGCACCTAAGTTAAAGCAAGAGCTGACAATTTGTGTGTTAGAATGTCCTTGGCCAAGACTGCAAGAGGCCAAGTGCCTGGTGCACCTCAGCCTCCGGTGCATTTACTCAGAAGGTCGTCTTTGAATCACCACGTCCAGCTCGCCATACACGTGTCTCAGGGTGTCACTGGTCATGCTGGCTATAAGCTTCCGAGGGCCAGAGACCCAAGGCTGGCACACTTCTTCCCACTGCACGGTGGTGTTGGGCCGGATTTCACTGGAAGAGTGGAAGAGAGAGGACAGACAGGTGTTATTCCCTGGAGGGGCAGATCCAGTTTCCCACTTTGGTCAGGCAGCAGTGAGAACCCCTGTGAGCCACTGCTCTCTCTTTTTTCTTTTTTTTTTTCAATATTTTATTGTACTTCAGGTGAAGGCTTACAGAACAAATAGTTTCTCATGAAACAGTAGTACACATGTTGTTTTATGACACTGGTTAACAGCCCC